GAGAGGGAGAGAGAAGAGAGAGAGGGGGTGGTGGAGGAGTGGTGATTGAGCAAAGGGGGCAGGACTTTTTCTCTCCGGGTCCTATTAAGAGCAAACTTTGTGTTTTTGTTCTCCAAGTTCAGCTCAGTGCCCTCCTGCCTGCACACAGTTCCTCTGCAGCTCTTTTTCTTTTCCCATTTTTTGTTTCTCCCTCAATGGTTTTTGTTTGCTCGCCTGTTGGTCACTCCTGTGTGTGTGTTTTCATGGGGGATTTGGACACTGGGAGGATGCGCTTTTGGGAGGAACAAACACTCAAAGTTGTCTCTTCGGCCACCCCGGGGTTGTTTTAGTGGATACATAGATGTTCTTCAGGCTGGAATGAACAATGGTGCGGCTTCTTGGTGCTCTGGCCGAGGGCATGCTGTGTTTTCGGCTACTGTTGCTGTGCGTCGTGGAGTTGGAGCTGGGAGCCGGGCTCTCCACTTTCCAGGGTTTCTATCTTCCACCTGCGAACGGGTCGCTTCTCGCACCTGCCCGGAGGACAGACGGGATCGTGCGGACCATTGACCGGATTTACCACGGAGGAGGGAAGGTGGGCTACCTGGTGTACCTGGATGGGAGCCGGTTTCAGCTGGACATGGAGCGGGACGAGACCGTGCTGTCGCATCACTTCAGCCCCCAGTATGTGCTCGCTATGATGGGGGACAGTCCCGCGCCTTTGCATCGGGAATGCGTGTACCGCGGGACTGTGGACTCCAACCCGGAGTCCCTGGCCGTCTTCAACCTCTGCGGAGGGGGTCTCGAGGGCTTCTTCGCCGTGAGCCACGCGCGCTACACCGTCACGCCTATCATTAGGGCGAAGGGACACGAACACGACGTGCGCGCCCTGCAGGACAAGGACGCGGAGAGCGCGCTTCACGTGTTCACGCGCGAGAGTTTCAGCTTCGAGGCCATGCGCGAGGGGCACGAGAGCTGCGGGACGCGCGACGGGCGCAGAGGACGCCGGGATGCGGCGGGGAGACGCCGGCACAGAGCTCGCGGGAAAGGTACACGGGACACAGGTGAGCACGGCGCGCGCGGGCGGAGATGGTGGAGCCAGCTCTCGAGAGC